TTTGACCGCTATGCTGCTGTGTGTCGTCCACTCCACTACACAACCATTATGCACCCCCTTCTCTGCCTGACTCTGGCTATTGCTGCCTGGATGGGAGGTCTCATGAACTCTCTGATTCAGACAAGCCTCATGATGGCCATGCCTCTCTGTGGCCTCCATTACCTGAACCACTTCTTCTGTGAGATGCCTGTATTTTTGAAGCTGGCTTGTGAGGACACAGAAGGCACAGAGGCCAAGATGTTTGTGGCCCGTGCCATAATCTTGGTTTTTCCTGCAGCACTGATTGTTGGCTCCTATGCACACATTGCTCAGGCAGTGCTGAGGATCAAGTCAATGGCTGGGCGCAGAAAGGCTTTTGGGACATGTGGGTCTCACCTCCTGGTGGTTTCTCTTTTTTATGGGTCAACTATTTATACATACCTCCAACCCACAGGCAGTTACTCTGAGAGTGAAGGAAAGTTTGTTGCCCTTTTTTATACTATAATTACCCCCATGCTCAATCCTTTGATTTATACCCTAAGAAACAAGGATGTGAAGGGGGCTCTGAAAAAGATAGCAGGAAGAGGCAGAAACTCAGGGTAGAAGAGGAAAGGGACATCAATACAATTTTGTATGGTAGCTCTTCAATTATAAAACCCAATCTGTTCTTGCAAGGCAGTTGGTTAGTAGAAAGGCCTTAGGGTTTTGGTTTCTTCTGCGTTTGGAAGTGGGAAGAGAAAACATATTGAGATGCTTGCTAGTTCTGGGTCTATGATCAATGTGCAAAAGGGACTAAGCATTTGTATTATAATGCTTGGGAAGTGGATGCCTTGTATCCACTTGTAGGTAGTGGAGATAGGTTCTTAACAAGTCTGAGAGTCAAAGTAAAATTAATTCAGAACTCCAATACCTTCCCAGCATCATGCCATATAGATCACACTGTAACCAAAGGCAAAGGACTTGGATTGAGGCCTACTCTTCTAATTAATTGTTACCCTGGACATGTCCCTTTACATCTAGGGGCCTGTTTTTAAGGTCTCTTGAAGTGGCTAGCCTTCTATAATACTTGGAGCAAGTAAGAAGATAATGATCAGAGGTAGTTCATGAAGCATACAAAATGTCACTTACTACTCAAAGAAAAAGGCAAGATCACTGGGAGGCATTATGTAAAAGGAGAAATCAGTGTCTCATTGGATGCACCTCCAGTCTCAGAAATGCTCCTCGGTGTCATAGACAAGACATTTTCGTGAAAGAGAAGAGAGTAGAAAAGAAATGGGCATAAGAAAAATGAGCCAAGAGGAAGTTAAATAGAAAAGAATAAAGAATAAATTAGAGCATCACAAATCAA